GAGTGTTGTTTGGTGTAGAAATAAAACTGTTCAAGTTGGAGATGTCATTTACAACTATCGAAGGGTGGCGCAGGTGGATTGTAGAGTTTATTGTTGTGCGAAGGTAGAGGGTTCGTTCCACCGCTCAGATGGTCACGTGACTTTTCGTGTGAGCTCTACAATTTTTTTTCCCGATATTATGAGTAATTCTAAAAATATTATGCACCCCCCTCGTCAGCACATCTCCAATCTTAGGAAGCAACTGTTGGAAGCTTTCGACAGTCTCTCTACTACTTATTATAGTCTTTCTCTGCATGATGACTTCTACTCTGGACCGATCTTCTCCAATTGCTTTGTTGCTCGTCCTGATGAAATCGTTTATGGGGTATCTAAATGTGCTACAGTTGATGAGGCTGTCGAGTGTCGTGATCGATTGCAAGGACTTGAAGTTGTTTGCTCCCCCCTAGATCACAACATGGGGGATACTTATATCTGTTGTCCGGTAATCTATGGGATGGGTATGAATAAGTTGTTATTGGAGAACCCATCCTTTTCCACCTGTAGCGATAGTGAAGAGGTTGTTATGAAGAAATGTAAGGAGAAGTACCTTCGGTTGAACCTAAAGCGGGTCGCAAAGTGGAAAAACAGTGGGATGTTTGGAAGGGCATATTGCCTCCCCAAGCACAAAGATGTCAACAAATGGCGTCCCATCTGTCCCTCCTACTCGGAATGCTCTGCTGCCGATAGACAGGTGATATCACGCGTGGTTAATTACTTGTTGTATAAGATGCAGTCTGGTTATAACTTTAATCTTCAGACTACTTTAGATCTCATCAATGAAATCAAGAGGATTAACAAGGGTCCGAAAAAAAATGAGTTTCCGATGGGTGCTTCGTTTGATGTTAAAGAAATGTTCTCTAATCTGCCCCACCATTCTATTCTTCAAGCTTTGCATTGGATCATCAATTACTGGATGAGTAATGAGTATGTGGTTGTTGTTGTAGGATCAACTTGAAGTGGCAAAAAAGTCAAGCTGATCAAAGGAAGAAGGTTGGACACATGTTTCGTTCGAACATATTATTCAGTATGTGTCCTTTGAGTTGGAGAACATGTTCATTATTGTTAGTAGCTCGCTTCTTCGGCAGACAGTTGGGATCCCGATGGGCGAATCGTTGAGTCCAACTTTGGTTTGACTCCTCTGTGCCTTTAATGGTTTTTTTTCTTTTCTTTCTCCTTTGTCTGATTCCCGTTATCTATTTCATGGTTTTTGCCTGATGGATGATGTGCCCATTTTCGTTACCTGCGACAAGAAGGTGGTCGGTTCGATCGGTCATGCAACCGAAGTAATTCAACAGTTTTCAAGGTGTTATGATAGCAATCTATCTTTGGAACAGGCGAATGATGGTCAGACGTGGGACTTTCTAGGATGCTTTCTGAAGATGTTTGATGGATAGACTGGCATTATGTGCTTGCCCATGCACAAAAGACAGAGGGTCTGGAGGGAAGACATGTTGATTTTTCAAAGTATTCAAGATTTCTCTTCTTATTCTAACAAGCAATAAAAGATGGTTGCTATTGATTCTTTTCTGCACCGAGCAAGGACTTTCTTTTCCATGTCAGGTACTGAACTTTCATTTTTGTTCACCTTGAAGATTGAGTTGTGATGTCGTAAGTATCCCGACTGGTACTTTGATCATGCCCTGATTAACTTTTCTAATAAATTTGCTGGAATCTGGGACCGATGGCTGCCCATCCTGATGGGATGAGGCAACTTGTCGGTTGGATATGTTGGGGGAATGCGGGCACGGTGATAGGACTTTCCTAATAGGTTGTGTGAACTTTTGAGTGGTCGTTGGTCTTTTGGGCATGTTTGCTGGTGATTCGCTATTTTCTGATGAAGCGGTGGTGGTGGGACCACCGAGTTGAGAACTTATCGAATGGTGGCCTGATACAGGGTTAGGTGGGTATGCTTAGATCTAGTTCTTGATGATTCGTTGTGGTTAGCTTTTTCGTTCCGGTTTGCAGCACATGGTTGTGGCTTGTGTAGGTTTCAAACAATCAATCTGTGGAGTGACATTTTGGTTAAAAAATAGAAGTAAAAAAACAAAAGTAAAGAAAATACGGAATAGTGATCAGGAGTGAGCTAGCTCGGCTTCTGACGGTTGGTTGGCTCTGCACTTAGTCTGAAAGTAGGTAATTATGACAATATTTTTGTTGTAGATTCTTGATTTTGGACAGACATAGTTGCTTAGTTTGTTTTCGCTCTAATGCCTCGTGTAGCACGAAAGTACGATCAATTCTCTCGTGGTGGTGCAAGATGAACTCCTGTGGTGTGGTGGCTTCATGAACGTGGACGGTTTTTCGAGTACTATACCTCTACTAAGCTTTTGTGCTTCGAAAAAACCTTTGAAGTATTCTATTGCTAGCAAGATAAATAGGATTGCGGTGTTTGTTTTTTTCACCGACAACCGACAGGTCCCTGGTGAGGCTGGGTGGCGCCAACCAAAACCGGTAGGACTACGCCACGGTTTTGACTCGACTCGATATTTTCAAGATCTTTGCATGAGTCAGTTGTGTTCGGGAGAGGACTACGCTACGATTTTGACTCGACTTGACATTTTCAAGTTTTTTACACGAGTCAGTCATGTTCGGGAGAGGACTACGCCATGGTTTTGACTCGACTCGACATTTTCAAGATTTTTACACGAGTCAGTCGTGTTCTGGAGAATTAAGTTTCACCATTCGATTACGTTTATCTTGTGGTTGTGTCTATCTCTTCTTCTCCCCCCTTTTTCCCCCTTCTTTACTTTCTTGGTCTCGTGTGGTCGTATTGTCGCTCTGTTGAAGTTCTGCTATTTGCTATTGAGTTGTCAACAAAAGGTTAGTTTATTACGAAGATCAACAGTCAATAAGGAATTTGAAATAATCCATGGGGTACTACCGTAGGTGGGACCTCGCCTACGGTAATGGTAGGGTCTCCGAGTAATTCAATTCAATCAACAATGCTGAGGACTCCACAAGCTCGGGATCCCGAGCCGTTGATCAGCTAGATCTACGGCTAGAACGGTCAGTCTCCAAGTAATTCAATTCAATCGACAATGCTGAGGACTCCACAAGCCCGGGATCCCAAGCCGTCGATCAGCCAGATGTACGGCTAGAACAGTCAAACCAGGTTGAGCATCTAAAATAAAAAATAATAATAATTAAAAAAAAAAATTAGGTTGGGCATCTTGGGGCAGATCGCAACTGCGCAACATAGGCCTCTGCTCCACTACACAAGACCCTACATGTATTTGGATGCCTTCTGGACCCCGTGTACATTCAAAAATGCAGACTGCTGTCATCATCTTGGTGCGAAAATACACGAAGGAGGGCCTAAATGGGGATACCCCTTTCCTTCTGATTTTTTTTTTTTTTTTTTTTAACCCCAGAACAGAGAGCACTCCCCTCTCCCGACCTTATGAAAGTCTAACAAGGTGTTTTCACAAAAAAAAATAAAAAGAGCAACGATGAGAAAGGGAGGCGCAGCTACTGGCAAAATGCTCGGTTTTTGTGTTAGCCGGACCCCCACCGGCGGCCCCACCCCATCTCTGACTACCGCTGTTGGGGCGGGGGGCAACATGAATTACCTCGTTTGCGAGGCCCTATGTTTGCAGGGGTCTCCTCTATATCGTCTTAGGAGTAGTGGTAGGAAGGTAGTGAAAGGCGAAAAAGAATTTCAGAGAAGTATGCCTACAATTAGGAGTAGTGGTAGGTAGGTAGTGTGAGGTGAAATTGAGAGAAGAGGAAGGGAGTCGGGGACGGGAAAGGCGGAAAGGCTGCGTTAAGCAGTGCTGTGCTCAATGCAGGGAAGCCTACTAGGGACGGCAGGCCGACCCCTGCTCTACGGCCCAGGGCAATCCTAGCGGGCGAACTGACGTCATCTACCTCGGTAATTCCGAGGTAGACAGGACGCCACTACTCTCGCCATAGTTACTATGTCGATATGCCCCTGTGAAATACGAGGGGACTGAGTGGTTTTCCGCCCCCCCACTCCTCACCTTGTCAAGAAGCGTGCTGAGCGAGCTGGAGGTAGAGTGTTGATGCGGACGCAGACTTCACCATGCCTTGGGTAAGGAGACAAACTCTAATGACGCAGGTATAACTCCTCTTCCTCCCTGGCGGGTGTGGGGATTGGTGGGGATATACTTGCTTTGTTCCTAATTTATTTGAAGCTTTTATTCTATTACTAACATAATTAGGCCCTCTTATTATTCTTATTAGGGTACTTAACTGTTCGTCCCTGGATGGCAGTCGGGGGATCCCCCACGACCATATCCCCCCAAGAGAAACAACGAATCCGGGATTTAATCTCACAATGCTATCACGATGGCATCCTCCCTCCTTGCCTAACTCCATCGAAGGTGGAGACAGGAGAGGATTATTTGGAAGTGACGATAAACCCGGAAATTTCAAAGATTCAGGCGGAATGGCTGCAAGAAAACGCGGTTACGATCCTCTTTGGCGAAGATTCGTCTTCGCCGACAACGGACGTTATAAAACGCTTGGCTCGAATGTACGAAAATGGATGGGCATCCTCTTCAAAGTTTACTGTTCCTACGAATAGAGGACTCTTCCATAATGAGGGGAAAAATCTAATAACGTACGTGGCTCCCTCTAAGGAGATCGCTCAATGGATGTTACGTTGTGCTCACACCCAAATTGAGATGGATAACGTGACATACAAAGTTGAATTCAGACCGTGGATGATAGAGAATGAATTGTGGGAATTGAGGGAGGTTGCTCGACACTGGTTCTTTTGGATCTGGTGCCAGCAGGTCCCAGTGGGCGTCCTCCCCCTTCTCCCTGGGGCAGTTCATAATGCCTATGGCTCTGAGTTGGTCAAAGAGTACTGTGCATTTAAAGATAAGCTGGAGCCGGATCTGTTGAATGTCCGGTTTGATCTGGAATCCTCGGCCAGATTACGCTACAGAAGATATTTGGTAGTAGACCTGGGTCCCGATGGGTATGTGGAATTAGAAGTGGTCTGTGCTGACACTCCGTGGTACCTGGCCTGCCGGAGGCATTTCCACTTCGAGGGGGACGATGATTGCATGGCTCACAAGAAGTCCTATGCCAACGTGGTCAAAATCCCAAGTAAGGGGAACAAGGAAAAAAGAAATAACAAGGAGCGAGGAGGGAAGGAGGGGAATGATGGGAAAGATGGAAAAGGCAAAAGAGGAAGAAAGGAGAGTGGGAAGGATGGGGAAAAGGAAAAGGAGAGGGAAAAGGAGAAAGAGAGGGGAGGGGGGGAAGGCGCACATGGGAAAAAATCTGAGAAGGATGAAGAGAACAAAGAAAGGGAGAAGAATCAACTTCGGATCGATGAAAAAGAGAAGGAACATCAGGGCAGGGATTGGGCTGAAGAGAAAGCCAAGGGAACAGGCGTAGTGTACACTCCTGCAAAGGATGGGCGAAGCAAGGGAAAAAAGATGCTCTCGAAAGAGGGGTCAGGGAGGCAAGATCAACCCATTGACGTTGAGAAAGGGGGAAACTCACCTGTACCTGTGGATTTAATGGACGAAGACAAAACCCTCCCTGCCCGGGAGAAACGGAAGAGAGATGAAGGAAACGAGGATTTAGATGGGGAACGGGATGCAAAATGGGTAGTGAAAGGGAACGAAATTGTGCTTCACGAAGATATTAACAGCCCCCCTTTGCAGGACTATTTCTTCTCGTCAAGAGATTCGTCAGAGGACGAAGACGACGGCGAGGAAGCAATCCAGCAAGGAAAAGGGCGATCCAAGTCGCCACACCCAAATCCTCGAAAATATGAAAATGTGATATATATGTCATCAGAAGAGGAAAAGGAGTACGACTCAGATTTGGGGGTTAAGGCCCTGTATAAGCTTAAGGATGACAGTCGACCCCGAAGACTTGTGGACAACGGGTCCGATTCGGATGAGGATTTCCGCTCGGTCGATAGTCAAGGACTCAGTCTGACTCCTGCAGCTTTGGAGGGGTCAATTCCGGAGGACGGGGGTTGTACCCCGGCACAAGAAACTTCCCCTCTTAAGAAACTGCGAACGTCCAAGAAGAAGCCCTCGCCCAAGGACAAAAAAGAGGTCGTCCCCCTCAAGGCTTCGACGTAGCAGTTCAAAGGAGGAGGGCTTATGCAGGAAAAACCTGCGGCAACAAGACAACTGTTAAAAATCGTACGCCCCATGCAAACCCTGCAGATCAAAGATAAGGATGGGGGTCCTCCCAAGGAACTTATGGTCCCATTGGTAATTACCCCCTCCCCCTATGCCCGATGATCTTGACTACGATTGACAAGGATGAAATCCTATCACTACTAGCGATCCCAACTATACCCCCCCTCCCTAATACCCGATGGCTTGTAGAGACCAAAAAGCAAGTCCTACGGGACAGAGGGTCCTGTGAACGACTTTCAGAACCCAAGAAGGGCCGACATATTGCAGTGAATCCGCAAGGGAAGAAAGTAATACTACACCTTGCAAGCATGGCCTTCTGCGCGAGTTCGCAGGAAATGGAGGGAGCAAAACTCCAGGGTATCTACTGGCGTCCTCTTACCTGTCTGCTGGACACGAATACAGACACTCTTAAGGACATTAAGCTGCCAGAAGAGTTGTCTACACAAGCGGTAGCAGACTGGCTGCATCACACAAATGCAGTCGAAGGGTTCTCTTCAGATCAGTTTGCTGTTGAACTTAATTCAGGGGGTCCCCCTCCTGTCGAACAAGTTGATAAAACCCTTGCCGTGAAAGGCAGAGGGGTACCGGTTAAAAAAACCATGGCAGGCCGAATCCAAAACCCACGCGGCAGGGGATCTGGTGATGGTTCTACCAAGTAGAATCAAACTACTTACCTGGAACCTACGTGGTTTTATAGATACTGCAAAAACATTTAAGAAATCAAGGTTCAAAGCTTGGATACACTCGCAAAATGTGCAAATAGCCTGCTTGCAGGAAACCAAGCTTTATCAGAATAAGATAGCATCCATCCAACCTTGGTGGGATGGACCGCAGGTATGGTCCCCGGCGGTTGGCTCCAAACGGGGTGTTGCCATCCTTGTCAATAAAGATCTAGACATAACCATTATTGACCAGCATAATGATGTTGAAGGCCGTTGGGCATGGTTAAAGTTCTCGGTAGAATCAGAGGATTGAGCCGTTATGACTGTATATGCCCCCGTGGAATATCCAACACGAATAAATTTCTTGGCAAGCCTATCTGGCTACATTCCGGATGTGGATGACCTCATCCTCTGTGGTGATTGGAACACGATCCTTAAAGTTGTGAAACCATTAAGGACCAACTCCCTAATGCTCAACTCCCTTTGTGAATCCCTTAATTTAAATGATGTCTACAAGACATTGAATCCAGAGGCCAATGGATTTACATGGTATGCCCCCCCCCCGACTCCGATAGCTCAGGCCCCAAGAAAGCGCCTTGATTTTTTTCTGGTAAGGGGCGCCCCTTGGGACCGAAGCATGTGGTGCGAGGAGAGCCTCGGTTCTATATCGGACCACCACCCGGTTCTATTGGATATTCTCCCAAAGGACACTATTGACAGACACCGCCCACCTTTTAGACTAAACACCAACCATCTGAAGGACCCAGGCATCCTTGAATGGGTCAACTCTCATATGACAAAGTGGACGCTCGCCAAGGATCTGTTCTCAGATCTCTCCCTGTGGGCCGACACAGGTATAGCAATAGTGAGACACGCCTTGATGACCTTCTCAAGAATGAAGGCAGCAAGGCGTGAATGAAGGGTAAAACTATTGACAAAATCTATCTCACAAGCAGAATCAGAAATGGGGAGAGACCACTTTTCAGATTTTTATTGGTCAGGCATCCGCAGGGATGCCTTGCTCCAACTCGAAGCACCAGAAATTCATAAACAGTCGGAATGGATTGAACTGTTAAAACTCAGAGGGATAGTTGGATACGATAGGATGACCAAGCTGACATTTCGCTCCCTTCTCCAATGCAATCCAAATCCCTGATAAGAGAATTATCTCACCCTTTCGACTCATCAACACCCTTAGTAATAGATACTATTCAGATGTGTAGTTATGCTTTAGAATATTATAGGGATATAGTTACTACACGCCGCCCCTTTGACCCTCCCCAATTTGACATGACCGAGATCTTCCAGTTCTGGTCCGGCACAAACAAATTGATATCTCAAGCTGCGGCCAGAGAACTGGACAGGCCCATGGAGGTACCGGAGATCCTATAGTCAGCAAAGGCCATGGCCAAGGGCAAATGCCCCGACCTCGACGGACTCCCGGTTGAGTTTTTCTAGCTACGTGGGGGGCCTTAGCCCCGTTCCTTTGTGAGATATATAATGAGACCCTCCACACGGGTAAACTCCGAAGGGCTTTACACAAGGGATGATCTCGTTGATGTATAAAAAATGAGATAAAAGGGATGTGCGGAATTGGAGGCCAATCTCGATCCTCAACGTTACCTATAAATTGTTTGCTAAGACCTTGGCCTTGTGCCTAGCAAGGCTCCTCCCAAACCTGATCGGTTGGGAGCAAGGGGCTTTTGTCAAAGGCCGATCCATCTTTGACAATATCATTTCAACAATATAGGTCTTGGAGCTTATAGGCAAGGAGAAAAGAGATGTTGTTATCCTCCTCCTTGATATGGAGAAGGCCTACGACAGGGTGGGGTGGAGTTTTGTCCACACCACCCTACAAAAGTTGGGTTTTGGCCGGGGCTTTCGGACCTGGGTCAAAGCAAGCTATGAACAAGCCTCCTCAATGGTTATAGTTAATGGTAGGCTATCCGAAGAGTTCAAACTCTCTAGATCGTTAAGACAGGGCTGCCTATTGGCACCCCTGCTATTTGTTCTCCAACTCGAAATTCTGTTGGATAACATTAGAAATAATCCTGCTATAACCGGTTTAAAGCTGACCCCTACCTTGGAATGGAAAGGGGGTGCAATAGCAGACGATTTAACAGTAGCATGCGATAATAACCCTGTGGCCTTACAGAAATTTAGGAATATTATTGATACTTATTGTACTCTTTCTGAAGCTTCCCTTAATTGGGACAAATCAAGTTTCTTTCTCCCCGCCCCCAAGGATTTGAGTATGGACTGGGGCCTTAAGCAAGTCCCTGCCGATTCTTCAGAACGGTTCTTGGGTGTATAGGTGGCTTTCACAGACTGCTCAGCAGCCCAAGACTCCATCCTTGCAGATAAAGTGGCAGCCAAAATTGCAGGTTGGGCTCGCAACTTTAAATTGTCACTTTTTCGGCGTGCTTTGGTACTGACCTCGGCTGCCTTTTCAATTTTGTGGTTTCCCCTCTCAGTCCACATGCTGGGCGAAGGGGCATACAAGCGCATCAAACGGGAAGTTGCTCGATACTTATGGAAGCCATCAGCATCACAACAGCAAGGGTTTATTTGGAAGGTGGCTTGGGAAACTGTGACCGTGCCGAGGGATCAAGGGGGTTTGGTGGTTTTGGACCCTATGCAGCAGAACTGCGCCCTATTGTGCAAATGAGTGGTCGCAACAACTTTTGGAATCCGCTCAAAGCTCTGGGTGAGATTGGGCGAATATATCTTGGCTAAGGATTGAGAGCTAACTAGAGGAGCTGATGTATGGGCCTGTATGCTCATCCGGTCTTTCTAAGTTCGCAAACCAAAGTCAAGACTGTGGCGCAATATTCTGTCTGCATGGCAAAAACTTGCCCCCGAGCTTCTTCGACCGCCGGAGACTAGGGGGGAAATCCTTAATCAAATTCTCTTCGAAAATCCTCTCATAGTCTCTATTACGGGTTCTTGCTTGAAGGCAGATGGAAGCCCAGGCAACTTTGGCAAAGCTTGGGTGGAGAAGGGAATAGTGCAGCTCAAGGATCTGTGGGACATGGAGGCGGATGCATATGATGAACCACTTCCCGACCCCGCGCTATCTTTCGTACCCCTTGACTCAATACCCCCCCCCTTCTTATATCATACCGACCCCACAAAACCCCCGTTGCTTTTCTTGATTTCAGGCGCCTTGTTTTGGCCCCCATTTTTTTCGAAGTTCTATTGATTCTTGGAATCCTGCTTTTTGCAATTCGGGAAATGCATGGGAAATTACGCGCGCCTTAGCGAGCGCACCGAAAATCGGGATCGACAGTTAGGAATTACGGAATAAGCGGAGCCCGACGTATCTTTTTCCTTGCATGAATGTTCTAGGTCACGTTGGAGAAAGCTTTAGGAATTTTGTGAGAATACGAACAGGCATAGGAATTTCTTTTCCCACGTCGACTTTCGTGCGTGGATATGGCGATTTCAATTTTTGAATTAGTGTAGGACATAGGCAAGCTGTAACTATTTTGGTGCCTTTTTCTCCTGTTATCGGCGCCACGCATGCGAAGCTTCCTCCTCCTTATTTCCCGCGTCCTTCTTCCCCCGCACTCTCTCCTCTCTCCCTTCCCCCTCCTCCTCTTCTCCTATCGCAACTGTTTCTCTCTCTCTCTCTCTCTCTCTCTCTCTCTCTCTCTCTCTCTCTCTCTCTCTCTCTCTCTCTCTCTCTGCTTTTTGCGCGCCTGTTTCCCCTTCTTGATCATCTGAATCTTGGACCCGTCTCGCGATGCTTTTCGTGCCTCGTCTCTTCTCGCTCTTCAACCTTGGCTCGCGAAGCCCGGTTGATCCTCCGATTACCTTGGCTCACCAATCAGGCTCGTTGAACAAGAGGATCTTCCTATTGCACGACGAATCTGATTGGTTGAAAACTAGGTTCCGAAGGATCAACATGGCTTCCCTTGAGCACCTTTCGCTGAACCTTCCCCCCTTACACCTCGATCTCTCCTCTGTCTCCTCCCCCATCTATCTCCTTTCTCGCAACTATAAATTATGCAAGCGCGCCCACAAACCTCTCTTACGTTTTCCACTCGCAAGCCAACTTCCGGGGAGAAGTGGCTAGAACACAGGATTCATGAAAACCCAACAAAACCAAAAGAACCCAACATTTTGTATAGAGTGAAATCTTAGAAGTGAAACAGTTGTATTTAACAAAAAAAAAACAGCGTCTTTAATCCTTTCTCGAGAGACGAGGCGGAAAACCGAGCTAAAAGTGAAGCGATCTTTAAAATATGTCGAAAAACTCTTTCGAACAAAGATCCTGTTATAGGACTATAAGTGATTTCCAACCGACCAGCAAACAATAGAGCTCCAAGAAAAAAATT